CGCTGACACTATATAAGCTACCACATCATCATCCGCAGGGTCGAACCCGGCTCTTGCCCCTGCCGACTTCAACAGTATACAAGCAATCTCTTATCCAGCGTGAGCTTGGACAAAGCAGCTGCTAGGGAAAAACTGGCAAGGACCATCAGCTGAGAACCGGACCACATAGACTTGATCGCCATCAAGGCCGCTTTCTGTCGATCTCCACCAGCCGAGGGCAAACAACGAAATACGACTACCAACATAGGGACGGCAAGAGCAGTAATATGCAATGGGAGAGTCCCTAGGCACCAGAACGCACTGGTAATCCACAACACTGCCAAACACCGTCGTGCGGCGCCGTGCATACCGGGAATATCTATTGCTAGTAAAAGTATAAAAACAAGAAACACGACCGTGTAGGTGACAATACTCGCCCACTTGGCTCGCAAACAACCGACCAAATCGGACGACGTCAAGGGCACTAACTTGGTCGGAGTGCTAGCAGCAACACCCTCGATGCTCTTGGCATGGCCAGCCTCCAACAGCTCGGATGGTGGAGCCGCAGCCTGTGTTTGGGTAACTTGCCGGACCAACGGCATATCCTCTGATTTCACAGTCCGGCCTCCAGTAGCAACAGTACCAAGCCTCGTCCGCTGCCTGAAGTACACTGTTATAGCACCATCGTGCGTCATAACATAGGAGATTACCTTTCGAGTTTAATAAGGTCATGCCAGATGGTGCCTCTATCCCATACTAGCAGCTCTGATAAACTACGTGATAGCTCCTCTAACGCCAAGGAGACATCGCCACTACAGTAGTACTCGGCATAACTAAAGGAATAACACCAAAGTGAATCATACAAACATTGCTAGACTGCCAAAATTCAGTCATGAGTATACATAGACGAATCAGCTACAAAATGGAGCTCGAGAGAGACGGCGGTCAACCATGGGAGAATAGCTATAGAATTTTTATTAGATTTGCTAATCAAAAATCGAAAGAATAATAAAATATTCAAATCTCGTGCCAGTCGTCGAGTTTGTAGCCGATCTCTGCTCATTACCTTTTCTCGACATCAGATATCATAGCACTAAGGTTAGTCCGTGCCTCGTGCTGCATGCTCACCAATGGCTGACACGTTGACATGTACTCGCCGCAATGGGAGGTCCCGTTGAACTTATCAAACTTCTTCACAATCTTTCGCGCACCCTGACAATCACAGCAAATCATAATAGTAATACCTACGTCCAGAGGACCTGCTATAAATGCATAGCCACTAATGGACTTCATCCGTATCCACCACGGAGTGACCTAAGATACCCCTGTTACCTCGGAGTTGAGTTGAACAAAGTTCTTGAGCTCATTAAGCTCCGCAAAGAGCTCAATGCACTCCTTTCGATGCTTGGACTCGACGTGCTTGTGAGCTTCCATTGGAGCTAGATGCTGTTTCACTGAGGTTGTCAACCGAGCGTAAATCTAAGGGCAGAGTCGACATTTGAATGACCGCCAGAAGCAGTGACAGTCGTGGGATAATGCACAAGGCACGTCATAGTAAAATAAAGTTCACGTGAATAGTTAATACTGATAGCTCAGTATCTGCTACTCATAATTCACGTTCGTCCAAAAGTGTGTTAAACATAAAGTCTATATCGAGAGCGATGCAGATCTCCACCATGCTTTTGGCAATACCAAGCCGTTGCCCCCCCATTATTACATTATAAAAATACACAGATATACGATCCATTTCAGCGTCCAAGGCTGCCTAGAATGCCTAAAGTCAACTGAATATCACCACGATAAAGTGTCTTGTTACCTTCCAAGCCTCCTTTGGAGTGATAGTAGGGCTTTCCTCAGTGGAGGCTTGATTATGTCGCTGTTGCTTGATGAGCTTCTTGAGCTTCTTGTATTGGATGTAGCCATCGTGCCAAGGCCCGAAGGCATTGTACTCCAATTGATAGGTAAATTTCATAAATACAAGGCAACTACT